CAAAAAATAAACATACAGAATTTTAAAATATTTTTGTGGATATTTGAGCAATATTTAATTGTTCAAATATTACATTCTGACAATATAATTAAGTTGGTGGAAAAGCTCTGGGCCTATGGGCCTACAGTGTTACCTTGTAAGACTCTAATTGAATCTGTTTCTATGCTTAACAATCTTGGGATGTTAATATAAATGCACTGTGATCAGTGGCATTGTGTCAAGAACTAAATGAAAGGATTGCAGCAGCCCACTTAGCCTTATTCCCTTTCATTGTCTGACCTGTCCTTCAGTGTTCAGTAATATATTCAGCCTCTTTCATGTCAATGCACATTGTCAAAGAGGACATGTAAGGGCCGAACAGCATGCTTTGCATTAAATATCATACAGTGCAGTTTTTAAGGGATAAGTACCATCCTGAAATAAGGGCTTTCCATGAAATACAAAGACGCTGCATGGCTACCTGATGGAAGTCAGTTCCTGCAGTGGAAGAATACATGCTCTAGGCTATGTACCCATATTAATTCATGATTAATTTATGAGGAAGCAGAAATGAAACGAGGGTGTTTGGAATGAAATATGACAACAACGTAAGATTACCAGACCTGAATTGAATGGAGACCCTAGCGTCCAGAAGCAAGTAAGGACAGATATAACTAGGTCAGTGGTTGAGACAAAAAACATGTTAAACGAGTGGTAAAGCACAGGGGAAAATGCTATTGCATAAACCTGACAGCATCATCTGCAATTTAAGTGTCACAATATTTATATATACACATTAATATCTACTAGGTTGCAAAGCTTTGATATTATATGTATCTTATTTAATCAACAGAAATTTTGAGTTTTGCATTTGATTACTTTTTGGCTGGGAAGTGTTTCTTTCTGAAGTCTCAACTGGAAGAGATTTGATATGATTTGTGAACTTTAAAGGAGGTGATAGGTGAGTACCGCCTTTAGCTATTGTCATCTTAGTATCCTCACATATTTCTGAAAAAGGCCAAACAGGAAACACCAGTTTGCTGCAGAGCCGCAGCCTCAAAAATATCCCATGGTGTTAGCAGTCTTTCAATACTCCTTAAGCCAAAACATATGAACTGAATATTTTCAGTGAGCTCCAATGCACAAAACTACTGATTCTGAAAGTGACACTGATACTCTGAAATACTCACTTGGCTTGCAGCTTTGTTGATTAATAGTCTTTATTTTTTTTTGCATGCTTAAAAATAAGGAAAGCATCTCTGAAGGCCTTGAGAATAAGTCTATAATATTTTCTAAACCAATGACAACAGTTAACCTATCAAACCTCTGACTTTTACTGCTAAAACATAGCATACAGTATTATTTTCAGAAACAAGTGATGATTTCTGTGTTTTTGTCCACATTCTGTGGACATTCAGGATTATAGGTTTGATTAATGGGATAATTTGTGGCACAATGTAACTGGTACATTTAATTCTGTTCAAATCAAAAACAGAGCAAGTGAAAGTATAAGAAGAGGAAGTAGGAATCACTGCACACTTAAACGGACCAATCAGGTGCCATCGGGCCAATTGTTCTCATTCGGAGGAGAAAGCAATTCAGTGCTGAAAAGACACTGATTGCAGTGCTCCAAAAGTCCAACTCTAAAACCATGGGAATGTTATTAAGAATGCACTGTGTATATAAGAATATAAGAATGGACTGTGAATGGACTGCTAATACTGGCAGACTGCTCCACAGAGACCATTATCTATTCTGAAAAAGGAACAGAGGCCATTACTATTTGTTTTCCCAGCCTAATTCTTCTTTTTAAAAGGCCCCAGGCTTGGCATCGCCTCTGCAGTTTGTCTTCATTTAGAGGGGCACTTATGGAAAAGTATAAGTTAACTAAAAGTTTTAACAATGAGCTCTAAATGTCAAGCTTGAAATGCACAAGGTGTTCGATTTTTACATAAATGCAAACAAAAATTTAGACAACAGGATTGGCTGCTTGTGTAAAAATCTGTAAAACACTCCTTCAGGATGTACGATAATGCAAACTGAAAATAATTTTTTTAAAGTTATTTTAAAAAAAAAATTTATGCTGAAGCAACCACAGTGAAATAGTTCTCTGAGAGGTAGGTGAGGGGTCAGATTACCTCGGTAAAATGCTACCATTTTCTTCTCCTCCCTCCCACTGAGAAAAGACGCTAAGACACGTGAGTCACTGTGCACTCACATATTCATTAATATTGCATACCCTTCCATTTGAACCAGCAGGCTGTGGAACAACACAGTCAGGCATGGCATATATAGTTGTTCATACATTAACCATATATACTGCTGTGGAAAAGCATTGGAGAACCTCCCTTTGAAAACCGCTGTAATGATACTGACTCAGCTTTTACGTTTGTTTGCTGTCACTCTACACATGCATGTGTTTTATCGGTGTGTGCACTTGGCTAGTCCATGGTTTGCTGTGGGGCAAGGAAAAGCACATTAATGTGGTATTCTGATCATCGATTGATTTTTTCTTATTGTAATGGATTTCCAAATTAAGTACTTGCCTTGTAAACACGTAATGATTTGGGAAGTACTGGTATTGTATTATTTGAGTTTGAAAAGCATTACAGTCCATACATTTATTCTATATACTGGCAATTAATTCAGGCATAATGTGTATCTGAAACAGTCTCCTAAAACATAAATTCAGAAAAATTTTGATATCCAGCTCCAGCACCGAATGGATTAGTAAGTGTCAAACTAACAATACATTATTGCCTTTATTATGTGTGGACATTCTGGCAAATTCAAAGCTATGGGCTTTTAAGAATAAAATAGTGGCCATTGTCATCAATATTGATTGCAGATCCTGAACCAGAATTACTGATACTTTTCTTATTTATATAACAAAGAAACTGAGAAACTGATGCTAAATATCTTCTAATGGATCTTTCCTGCTAGTGAAGAAAAGGTTATAAGCTCTGTTGCCATTTCCAAATCAAAGAATGGCGAGGAAAACATAAAAACAAAAACATTTCCTGGACATGATCATTATAACAGTGAGGATTGCTAACCAGATTTTTTAAAAAGTGGTAAAATCTCACAGTCTGTGGTTTTAATCTACATTATGCATTTTACAAACCTGCTTGCATCAGCTGTCTTCATGTCACGCATCATGCTAAATGTGTCTCAGATGGGATTGACACCTCCAAGCTGCACTCTGATTCTTAAAATAAGCATCCATTACGTTTTAAATTTCTGTTGGAAATAATTGGCTGCTGAGGAAGCCTCTTTCCCAACGTCATTTTTTGGAGGGGGGAACTGCTGTGTCCTGACGGTTCTGGCCAATCAACACTATCCAGGTTCAAGACTGGGTAGCCTACAAGTTATTAACCTGAATGATCAGGACTAAGTCGTCGGGGCACCCGGGAAGGGGAGGGGAGCTTCGAGATGGTCATAAATTTCTGATTTAACTCCACTTGCCGTCTGTGAGTCTGCACCGACGTCTCATCCTGCCTAAACTGAACTGCCAGCAGGCTGTGTGTCTCCTCAGATGCCGAGGGAGTAGCTCAGGAAGGAGGGTGGGTGAAAAAAAGAAAAGACAAAAAAAAAAAAAAAAAAAAAGGAAACAAGATTTCAGCACCGGAGCTGTCCGCGGCTGTCTTGGGGAAGACTCTATTCCTGCTAAAAGGGGGAAGAAGCTGTAAATTTTCTCTGTGTGACTGTGAGGGCAAGGGATAATAAACTGCTGTGCCATTCGTCTCCCTGCGGGGGTACCGACGAACGAGTAAAGGCTCACATACTTCATTCGGGCCAAGTCTTGCCATGCTGGACGGCCACGCTTGAGTCAGGAAGGATAAAGTCGCCAGAAAGTCGCGGTGAACAACAGCCTTTACCCTTTACGGTGAGTCAACGTATATAAGAACCGTTGCTTTTCAGTACCACTTTGTAAAATGTTGCATGGGGAAAAAATGCCAGTCTTGATTCAGATTTAGCCGTGACTGAACTCGCTTAAGGTGGATTTGCGGGAAACCCTGAACACAGATGCGTGCATGGGAAGCATATTTAGGTCAGCATTCATATGGGTGTGGATGCGCGCCGCGGTTGGCATCAAACTAGAGAGTTCTCATTGCAAAGCCTGGTAGCTCCGTCTGCTCATTTCATAACAGTGCACCAAAATCAGCAGGACACGAGGATGAAAGCAGGGAAGTTCTTGGACTACAGCTGGTGCACGTAAAATATGTTGTTGTTTTTTTTATGATGGGAGATCTGCAACTAATGGCACAATTAAGTCATCTGGAACTCATGCCCCTCTTTGTAGCAGACACTCTTTAACTGTAGTTTGCCGTCTTCAATTGTTTTTCCCAGCACTGTCCCACTCACGGGAGCATTGCTGTCCATTAAGTTCTCCATCAGTCTTTGTTTACAACCCATACGTCCGAAAACAAACAAGCCAGTTTCGGTGTTAACCCAGGAGGCAGTGCTGCACCTCATTCTGTGGTAGATCTCTGCAGCCTGACCTGCTTCACTGCCGCCTGTTCTGTGCTTATTGTCAGAGCCTTTGAGAGCATCGCTGGCTCAGGCTCTCTGGCTGGCAGAGCCTGAATGCCAACATGATGTCTCCCGTGTAAGGATGCATTGAGATTTAAATTCCACCTCCATTCAGACACCTCTCTGTTTCCTCTTTTTTTTTGGCCGTTCACAAACTGAATTTCAAACCCCTATATGCATTTGTTTTAGATGGAAGAGAGAACAGACAATGAAAAGCCAGAGGGAGAACTGTTTGGTTTTTTTTTTCTTTTTTTTTTTTGGGGGGGGGGGGTTAAACACAGAGGGGCAGATTTCTGAATGAAGAACTGGATCAGGATAGGCCAAGAAAAAGCTACAAAAACAACCAGCTCTTTGATTTGATTTAGGTTCCTTTCTATGTCCTGGTGCACGTACGTCTGCGTATTTTAGATGAGTGTTAATGATTTCACTCACTAGCTCTTACAGGGATCTGGGTGAACTCGTTAGTGTAATTAGTTCCAGATCTTTGCTTCCCTGGTCTGTGGGTGAGATCTTCAGCTAAAAGCGGATTCATTCCCACGAAAAGGCATGCTTTGTGGTGCCTCCATTGAAAAACTCTAAGCCCCCCCTCAACTGAAACAAGGAATGAAAAGGAGGGCTGGTTGGGATTCTAATCAGCACATACCAGTGACATCCAACAGCTTTGGGAAGGGAATCCTAGCACAAGAGAAATGGCACATACAGTGTAGCATCCTTGTAATGCTTTTATGATGGAGAATGCACACACACGTAATAAGGAGACATACAAATGTGGCTTGAAATTGTGTCTATTTGTATGATTTTGAGCTTTTAGATAATGCATAATGGAGAAAGAACATCAACATTTTTCTTTCTCTTCAGTTTTGCTATTTTCTTTAAAAGAACTGGATACACTAAATGTTTTAAGTTTGCACCATGCCTCAAATGAAACAGTCAAGAAAAAAAAAACAACTCTTTGGTTGCTCACAAGCTAACAAGATATGTTCACATTGGCGCCGTAATCTCTCTCTGCTTCCAAAGGATCCATCCAAAACAGCTGAAAGCTTTGATATAAATTATCAGATGTGATATTGTCTTAAAAAATGCTTTTAAATACTAAACTGGGAAAATATAATTTGGTGAGTGCACCCATTATTATGAGTGGATTATATCCTAGCAAGTACCGCCCACCCCCCCATCTATAAAAATCATCCTATACTTGTAGCCCTCTTAAGCGATTAGATGTCCTGCCAATGTGAATCAGTGCCCGTAAAAGATTACTCTTTAAAGATGAAGTAAATTGCTGAACATCCCATACTGCCACATAGTACACTGACCTGACCTGAGCTTTCAGCATCTTCTTGGGATTCTTAGAAAATAAAATTAATCAAACCTCCTTGGAAGATATGAATATAACGGTCCAACTTACTTCATCAGTATTAACTTAATGAATAATGAATAAAAAAAAAAAGACCAGTTGTGCTTTAACACAACTATTTTTCATCTTTATCTGTAGACTATTTTTCCTCAGTCTAATAAATGGCTGCTCAGTGAGCTCAATAACCTACACATGGTGTCACTTGTATAGCAGGAGACTTAATTCCATTACAGACTTTAATGTTGGCCTGTGCCTACAAGAGAAAATTGATTCTGGATACTCTAGAAGAAGTTAGGATGTTTTGCCTGACATGGCGTGGGAGTGTTAAATAAATGAATGAAGTGTGGACACTTACAAAAAAAAAACACTCAGATGAGTAGAATAAAATCACAAGGATTTCAAGAGCACTTTGGCGCCACCTCCCTCTGAAATTATCAATTTTTAATTAAATCAAGATGCTCCTGAGAGAATCATCATTTCAGGACTAGTCATAGTCATTTGCCAACATGAATTGGGAGCAGAAATGCACAGTTGATTTTTCTAGGACTCAAATATACATAAAATAAACAAAACAGGGAAAGAAAATTAACAGTTTTGTAAACTCCCCTAAACCTGGCTTTTGTATGGATAAAGGCAGGATATATCACATAAGACCTAAAAAAGACCAAACTGCTGATGTACTTCACTATCTTCAGAATATTCTCACACAATACAAGATTTCCTCAGACATATATGTCAAGTTCTGCTCTAAGGAATGGCCCTGTTTTACGTCCCTTTGGTCCAGATCTTTTTTTATCCAGTGGCATTTAAATCATTCAGAAAGGTCCAGGAAGGAGAGCAGAGCAGCCGAGGCAGTGGCTCCTGCAGGAGTCTAGTGATCGTCAAGCCTGAGGGAGTTTTATCCTGCTCGCTTCTGCTTGTATTGGCCATCAGATGTAATATAGAGGGTGAATGTGGGTGACCGCTGAGCCTTAGTGGAATCACTTTTTAATACAGTTGGCACCTGAAGGGGGGTTAAAAAAAGTCAGTAGGTAAAGTAATATAAGCAGTTGAGTGAGTAAAAAGGTTGTAAACAAGTTGGTGGAGCTCATCAACATTTTCTAAGCAGTTTTCTGTTGTCGGGTAACGACAAATGACAGCAAAGCAAAGGTGTGGTCAAGTCAATTTGTGGTCAATTTACCTTCATTTTGTCTATTTTCAGCAGTGTCACTACAAAATTATAACTTTCCTTGTAGCCTGAAAAAAAAAACAGTCTCACTCGCATGGATCCTTTCAAAGATGATTTGATGTAGATATTTATAGGCAAGGTGTCAAAGATGAAAC